TTCACTCGCTATCCCTCTCAACTACCGTCGCATATCAAACTTCAACATATCACGGAATGCGGGCTTTCACAGTTGGAGATCGACACACTCCGCGAGCTCAAGGATGTCATGGCACCAGCAGCTGAATTCACCAACAGCATCGGATCATCCACAATACCAACAACATCGCTAATTTACACGACTGTCAGGAACCTCCTTCCACCACTCCAGAATTTCAATACAACAACTGCCAAGGTTGTTCATGTCGCATTGGATCAACATATCAAGAGGACATGGAGCCTCGATAAGGACACGCCAGCAATCGATGCCATCCTAATCTCAATGTACCTCAACCCCGCCATATTACAAGACAGGATCTGGGACGAAACCAACGGCGATTCCACTCACAGGGCCAAGGCTGAAAGCCTTATCACCACCAAGATCGAGGATGTCATGATGAAGAATAGGGAAGGGCAACGTCTGCCTATGCGCAACTTGCGTGACGAAGCAGGCGCAAAGCTCGTCCAGTACAAAGGTGAGGTAATTGTCGAGAATCTAGACTAGAACAAGGCAGAGTTGACCTTTTCTTAGGCAGGATCAGGAAGAGAGGTGGAGGAAGAGAACAAAGGGAATAAGGAGTCAGATATGGGTTTTCAAGGTGTAGACAAAGTATTATTCAAGTTACTAGGTAAGGATCAAACTATTTGGGGTACTATGGGATATATATATGTGATTGTGAGCAATGTTAATTAATTGTGTTGGGCTCATTCAACTGCGCCCAAGGATCAACTGATCGTGCCAAGGGTCGACCGATCGTGCCAAGGGTCGACCGATCATGCCAAAAGTCGACTTATCATAGGGAACGACGCGACATCACCCCTCTTCCAAACGTTACCTACAATTCCAATGGCGAGGGAAGCTGTACCAGTTCAAGGTACTACCATTCGGTCTATCCTTAGTTCCACTCATCTTCACCAAGGTTCTGAAACCATTGCTACGATGGGCGAGATCTCGCGGGATCAGGATATCAGCCTACCTCGACGATCTGATCATTGCAGCGGCAACAGAGGAACTCTCGAGGAAGCATACCAGAATGGTGACAGAAAAGCTGGCCAGTCTGGGTTTTCTGACAAAGGAGTCCAAGTTGAGTTTGACACCATCCCAGAAACTGCAGCATCTGGGGTACGAAATCGACACAGTAGCGATGACACTGAGGATTCCGGGAACCAAAATTCGCGATATGAGACACGAGGCGTCGAAGCCGATCAACAAAGCAACCTGCTCAGTCCGACAACTGTCGTCCTTTATCGGCAAGGCGATAGCCATGACAGCAGCAGTATTTTCAGCTCGGTTGAAAGTGCAGCACCTTCAGGCAGTGAAGATAAATGCACTGAAATCGGGAATATCATGGGAGGGCTCCGTATCTCTCCCGACGACAGCCACCGAAGAGCTCCTTTGGTGGCGCACACACCTGCAGCAGTGGAACGGCCTATCGTGGATAGTGGCCAATCCACAGACCGACATATACACGGACGCTTTGGCATCCGGCTGGGGAGTGGTGATCAACAACCGATCGTACAGTGGCACATGGTCGGAAACTCACTACCCACGACACATCAACTACAAGGAGTTGTTAATGGTCTTCTATGCCTGCGGAGACCGGAGGTCAAGGGTCGCACAGTCAACATCATCTCGGACAACATCACGACGATCGCCTACATCAACCACTTCGGCGGAACGAGGTCACCGGAGCTGATGGAACTTGCGACATCGATATGGAACTGGTGCCTCCAGATCGGAACCAGGATTCGGACCACATACGTCCCCTCAGCGTTCAACCCAGCGGACGCTCCATCTCGTCAACTGACAGGCCAACTCGAATGGTCAATCAGTCCATCATTTTTCGATCGCATGGATTAAGAGTGGGGACCCCATACCGTCGATCTCTTCGCCTCTCCCATCAACCACCACCTACAACAATACATGACCTGGAAGCCATCACCAGGCGCAATCGGTCACGACGCTCTACAGCACAACTGGCAATCACTGGGCAACATCTACATCTGCCTACCATGGAACTTGCTCCCGCTAATCTTACAGAAGCTTCGACAGGAACAGATCTCAGCAACGTTTGTAACACCTCATTGGCCCTCAGCAGTTTGGTACCCAACAATTAGATCGATGTCCGTGGCACCTCCCATTCCGATACCTCGACACCATGTCCTTCCAGCTCCCGGAAACGCCCCCGACATACTGGCCAAGAACCCTCACTGGTCCCTGACAGCATGGCGAATAAGCGGCGCCGTCTCGAGGATAAAGGATGGGATGAAGCAACCGCATCATTAGTACTTGACAACCCACGAGAGCAACGCAAGCAGGAACGTTACAGCAACATCCAGGAACGGTATATCAGCTGGGTAAAAAACCGAGGATTCGATCCACAACAACCTAACCCGGCTCAATTACTCAACTGGCTCACGGCTGGCGTTCTCGTTCAGAATTGGCAAGCAAGCACGGTCAACAACTACAAGGCGGCGATCATATATATGTACGACGACAAGACACCCTTTCTGGACCCGGACTTCCTTTCCTACTTCAAGGCTATCCAGGAACGGACGATCAAGGATATGAAGGAGATCGACATTGATCTTCGACCAATCCTCGATTTTTTCCGACAGCAAGGCCCCAATGAAACCCTTGGCATATCCATTCTAACCAAGAAGGTGTGCTGGCTCCTGGGCACGGTTGGGTTTCTTCGACCAAGCGATATCTGGTCCATTAATCTTGCCAGCCCAAGTTTGAACTGACCGAAGTATCCTGCAAGATCCCCGTGTTTTTTCCGAAGGAAACACGAGGTGGACAACAGATTATCAAGTATCCCGCGATCAGGAGTCACGATGATCCTCTCCTTTGCCCGGTACGCGCCATCGCCGAATACCTTCGTCGCCTGGAGGGACACGAGATCATGGTCCCTCACCACAAGAACAAAGAATTTCTTTATCGCCCTCTCATACGTGACGTGCGATCCCCCAAGACCCCAGTCATCAACCAGACGATCAGCAACCATATCGCTGAGATTACCGACATGCTCAACCTGACCAAGGACGAGACTATACCCAAGGCCCGCGCTATTGGTCCTACAGCGGCCATCAAGAAGGGCGCCCGCGTTGATGACGTGGTCGTTCACGGCAACTGGTCCTCCGACGTGATTGTCAACAACTACTATCGGCTGAGTCGAGCGACAGCAACCAATTTCACGTCGTTAGTTTTGTCATAACTTCTGCTCTAAATCCACATATATGGTCCTGGCCCGACGGATAATATTCAGCGGAGCCGAAGATATGAAGGCTCAAGCCTATTATCCGAGGGCCAGGACCATATATGTCCCGCCCTTGGATTTTTCTCCCATCCTTTTTGTCTCCTGGCACCCTGGCTCGCTCTACGAAGATGAGGGACAGATTTGGTGCCTGAGCAGAATTTATTTTCTCTTTTCTTTTCACTTTCGTTTTAGTTTTCTGGATTTTCGCATTTATTACAATAAAAGAAGATTACACATGTATATGGTCCTGGCCCTCGGATAATAGGCTTGAGCCTTCATATCTTCGGCTCCGCTGAATAAAAGTACACTTGCAATTTATTTCACTACACCCGTATTATATAAAGTCTTAGAGCAGGCGAGGAGCCAACACGACGCTAAAACAGCGGACTCCACCTCATAAACAATAGTTGATTTGTTTAATTATAAGGGACGAGAGAGTGTCGAGCTCGCCATGTAGTCTAGCGACAATTTCAAACCTTTAGGACTAGTGAAGCAGAGAGCATTTGCAGCAATTGCTCTCCATGGTCGATGGTGAATGGCCGTTTTTTTTTTGTTTTTCTTTGTGATAATTGATCCGACAGGTGCCGGGTGGATGCGGCGTGAATGCAGTGTGGATACGATATAGTCGTCTGTCCAAATGTTTCAATGAATGCAAGCCTAAAAATCCTGTACCACCAGGTAAGAGACAAGATGCTAAGAGAGCTCATGTAGTTGGGATAGACGGCGCTTACATTTTTAAGTTTGGAAAAAAGTGCGGCGCTTACATTTTCAAGTTTGGAAAAAAGTGCGGCGTCTCATTAGTGCATGCTTCGATTACATAGGCTCTAACCTTTCACTCCAATGCGCTCTCAACTAATCCAATAATTTTTCACATAAATACAACACTTATTTCTCTTTGGGAACTCATCTCGCCTCTCAACATCACCTCTGTCCAGTAAGTTAACCCTAGCAACCATACCTCTTAAGCTACAATTTCACAAAAATCCTTGAAATCTGATCCAAAGTTGTCATATCATTCTATTTGATAGAATCTTTTTGAAAATGCACAAAGTACTCGCAGTGTTATTCACGGTCTGCTCGACCTTGGTCCTTGGTGTTCAATCCTCCAGCACCCTCCTTCATATCTATAACAACGCCGGTAAAGGAACTTGGATTGGTGCTGAATCTGATGCCCGGTGGTGTGAGTGTCTATCCAACACCCAAACCGCTTCGATTCGAGGTGAAAACGGAGGAGTTATCAGACTCTTCTCCACCAAAGACTGCACTGGAAACTTCCAAACCCTCGAAAGCAACAGCCAGATCAACAATGCGCAATGGGTGAACAGTGTCTCCTGGGGCAAAGGCGGCATCCCCTCCACTCAATGGGAAAACGGATGTCCCAATTTGTTTGCCTAATCGGGAGTGGCTGTATGTCAGTGTTAAGAAATTTACGCCTGGAATGCCATGATCATATTCATGCGGAAGGCTTATCTTGTATTCCCATAATATGATCTGGTTAGGCGCAGCGCGGCCCTTTGTCTTATAGAATAAAACTGACTCCTCTACATTGACTTTCTCGTTGTTGTCGAGTTGTTATACCGAAGACTGAGGTTGTTGGAACCTATGGGATGATTATTCTAATGGAAATTCCTATTACACAAAAGCAGCGATGTGATGGCTAAGGCGTGGGTAGTGCCAAATTCAAAAGAGGGAGTGAACAAAAATGTAGTTGTTATTTCCAAGCAAAACCAGAAGACTGACCAGACCTTCTCAGCGGTCGAATCGAATCGAATTTAAACGCTATTCGAGTTCATCACGATGCTGGAGTTTCAGAACACCACAGAAGATCAATGGAGTGGTTCAGGAACGCCTTAGACGTCGGGACAGCAGCTACCAATCCCCAAATTGGTGATACGTATTATAGTGGTGATTACCTAGAACAGGACTACAGCAAGGCTCTGCAATGGTATCTCAAAGCAAGCGATGCTGGAAATGCCAGTGCCATGTTCAACATCGGCTTCATGTACGACGATGGTCGAGGTGTTGAGCAGGACGACGGCAAGGCTATGGAGTGGTATACTAAGGCGCGCAGTGCCGAATTAGCAGGTGTTACCGCTTGAACCAAAGAAATACAGGAGGAAGGGGTGCAACAAGACGAGGGGACGAAGAATGAGGAATGAGGGACGAGGGACGAGGGACGAAGGACGATTGTGCTTTGGAAGTTGTTTTTAATAAAAAGGTGAGTTTAAAACTAAGGCGCTATCTAGGTGTTGGTTGGGGAATTTATACGTGAGTGAATGCTAGATAGTTGTCGTGTTGGGTTTCTAGAGGTTTCTATGAGGCGTAGCTTTGATTAGTAATCAGAGGGAAGAAAAGTCTAGAAATGTTGGTGGCGTCATAGGTTAGTGTGACCTTATCAGAGTGAAACTCTGACACTCCCCCTCCTAAAAGGGGACCTAGGGGTGGGGCTTCTTCGACCAGTACTCTTGAAGAGTTTCTCTGTAGGCGTGGAGGGCTTCCTGGTAAAACTTGAGGTGATGGTCCATTGGCATTGGAGGGACAGGGGTTAGGCGACCAATGTCACCTCGAAGGCTTTTTTCTTGTTCTCGGAGTTCCGCATAGTGTCTTCGATACCATTCCAGGAGGTTTGGGGATAGGAACGTGTCGCTACACAACGGAACGGTTTTATACATCGCATGGCGCGTCTCTTGCCACGCAATCTCCAGCTGTGCGAGAAAGCTGCCGACTTGGGTTGGCTGACATGGTCCGAGGGTTTCTTGGGCAGAAAGAGAAGCCGCATGGACTTGTGGCCCTTCAAGGTTTGGTTTTTCGTCGTCTTCGGGATCAAGGTTGATGGTTTACTGAGCGACGAAGGTGGTGTTGGCTTCGTCGTTATCGGACGTCGTTTCTTGCTCCTCGGACGGCTTCTGTGTGGCGGGGAAGGGGCTTCGAATGGATGCTGCCTCAGGGTCGTCCTCATTATTAAAGGACTTTTGGTGTTGGAGTGAGGCCGTTCGACGGTTGGACTGGGCACCCGGAATGGTCTTGACGGAAGTACTGAAGTGTGCTCGCTTGGTGGACATGGTGGTGTTCGGGTGTTGTGAAAGAAGAAAGGTAGTGTGTGTGGTGTTCTCTTTTTTTTTTTTTTTTTGAATGAGGGATGGAGAGGGCGAATGAACAGAAGTGGTGAAGGCAAAGTAGTGAATGTGTTGGCGAAAGGAGAAAGGATGGCAGAATGGAAAGGTGTATGGAACAAAAAGAAGAGGGGCGAGAATGGGCAGCTTGCTGCTTTTGAATGTTGAGCAAATGACGACCGAGTCATGTTGAAGGGGTGTGTACATAAGATGAAAAGGATGATGGCGTGATTGATGTTGGAAAAAAGGAGTTTGGTGCATGAGATGGAAAGGAGAATGGCGTGATTGGACGAATGACAAAGGAGATGTGTGATGTTCTGATTGGTGGAGACTGTTTTTCATGCACGAGCCTGTGCAAGGGGAACGCCGATCGTGCATATAGGGAAGGTGGTGGAAACGGCAATTTTTCTTTAGGAGGACAGTCGATGCTTGGATAAGTAGCGGCTGAGTATAACTTGAGCGTTGACAAGGTCGTCAGCGGTCTGCCAGGTGTTTTCGGAATGAGGGTAGCCGACCCACTTGACCAGGAAGAGGAGAGGGCCATCCTTAGACTTGGTGCGCTTGACAATTTTTTCGACTTCGTATTCCGCTTGATAGTAGGCAGGGTTGTCTGGGACAAGGGGTTCGTGGACGGCGTCTGCCTGATCTTGAAGGATAAACTGATCTGGGTCGCGCGGAACGTGTTTGCGAAGCTTGGAGACGTGGAATATTGGATGGATACGAGACTTGGGCGGTAGATCCAACTTGCAATTGAGGGGACTAGGGCGTTCGGTGATCTTGAAGGGACCGAGGAATCGAGGCTGGAGCTTGTTGGCGGCGGTACCTGGGGTGGACAGGGTCTTGATGTACTCAGAATCGAGGTAGACGGAGTCGCCTATGTTAAAGGAGACATTTTGCTTGTTCTTGTCGTACTGGTCCGAATAAATTTTGTGACTGTCTTGGAGTGCGTCAAAAACAACCTTGAATCGGTTTGTGTGTTTTTCGACTACATCTCTTGCATTCGGCGAATGGACTTCCGGTGACTTCCCCAACATCAGACTGGCAGCAACTTGAGGTAGGTAACCATACAGGATCTCGAACGGAGAGAGATTCGTGGAGGCGGACTTGGCAGAGTTATAGGCAAACTTGGCGTGGCACAGGAGTTCATCCCAATCATCATGCGCGTTGGAGGTGTACATTCGCAAGTACTGCTTGAGTGTCTGGATGGTGCGTTCGGATTGACCATCAGTCTGTTGGTGGTGGGCGGTGGACATATCGAGGCTGGTGCCAAGGCAAGAGAACAGGTCGGTCCAGAAACGGCTTGTGAAACGAGGGTCGCGGTCAGAGACAATCGACTTTGGGAGGCCAAAGTGCTTGAAGACGTTCTTGAAGAATATTTGCGCGAGCTCAGGACCAGAGCAGGAGGTCTTGCAGGGGACGAAGACGGCGGTTTTGCTGGAACGATCGACAAAGACGGCAATGGCGTCGTGGTGGGACTTGGTTTTGGGAAGATGGATGATTAAATCCATCGCAATATGGGTCCAGGGGCTCTCCGGGATCGAAAGCGGCTGTAGTAATCCATTTTCTTTTGTGGTTCTTGTTTTAGAAGTCTTGCAGACGTGGCAGGATTCGACGTAGAGTCTCACGGAACGGATCATACCGGGCCAGTAGCAGAGTTCCGATAGACGGGCGTAAGTCTTGTCGACACCATTATGTCCTGAAATAGGGCAATCATGGATTTCCGACATCAACTGGGTCTTGACGGCTGGTAAGTCAGGGATGCAGACTCTGGTACCTTTCTTGAGATACAGGAGATCGTTCTTGACTTGGAACTCGAACGGGTCATTGGCATCGGTAATCTTGGAGGCACGCTCAAAGATGTTCTTGAAGTACTCATCCTTGGCAATTGCCTGTTTGCATAGGGTTATAAAATCTGCACCGACAAACGGAATCGACTCGACAATGGCGGAGAGTTGGTAATCGGGACGTCGGGACAATGCGTCAGGGACCACGTTGAGGGAGCCTTTGCGGTACTGGATGTTGAAATTGTATTCCGCAAGTTTCTCCATCCAACGGATCTGTCGCGGACTGAGCGTGTTCTTGGTGTCGAGGTATTTGAGGGACTCGTGATCGGTGTAAACGGTGAATGGTTCTGCGGTGGAGTGGAGGTAGACACGCCATTTGAGTAGCGCATGGACGACGGCTAACTGTTCTTTTTCGTGAATCGGATAGTTGATCTCGGCAGACGACAACTTACGGGACTCGAATGCTACTGGTCGACCATCTTGCATGAGTACAGCACCAACTGCAAATTTGGAAGCATCACAATGGACAGAGACGGGGCGAGATGGGTCAAAGATCACAAGGACAGGAGCCTGGGTCATGGCCTCCTAGAGGGCTTTGAAGGCGGATTCTTGCGGCAGGGACCAGACGAACGGGGTTTCTTTCTTCAGGAGTTCAGTCAGCGGGGCGGCGATCTTGGCGAGATTGCGGATAAAACGACGGTAGTAGTTGACCAGGCCAAGGAACGACTGGACGTCATTCACACAGGTAAGGGCTGGCCAATCGACGATGGACTTGACTTTGCTTGGATCGACTGCAATACCGTTGCGGGAGATGATATGACCGAGGAAACCGACTTCGGACTTGAAGAACTCACATTTCGACAATTTGGCATATAACTTGTTCTCTTCTAGTTTCCGCAGGACACGCTCGAGGTCGGCTTTATGCTGTTCTTCATTATCACTGAACACCAGGATGTCATCCAGATAGATGATTACAATGGAGTCCAGTTCCTCATTGAACACGTCGTTCATGAGGCACATGAAGGTCGCGGGAGCATTTGTTAAAGCAAAGGGGAGGACGAGGAACTCGTAAAGGCCTTAACGAGTGCGGAAGGCGGTCTTGTGGATATCATCATCGTGGATCTTGATCTGGTGATAACCGGAGCGGAGGTCGATTTTACTGAAGACCTTGGCATTGTGGAGTCGGTCAAGCAGCTCATCGATTCTTGGCAGTGGGTACGTATTCTTGACTGTTTGTTTATTAAGGGCACGATAATCAACGCACATGCGAAGATCACCTTCCTTTTTGCGAACAAACAAGACGGGGGCTCCATACGGTGACTTGCTGGGGCGAATGAAACCATAAAGGAGGAGATCATCTAATTGTTTCTTCAACTCATCCATTTCCGCTAGAGATAACGGATACGTAGGACGAGATGGAGGAACTGAACCGGGAATGATCTCGATCTTGTGGTCGACGGCTCTTGACGGAGGTAAGGTGCTTGGGAGGTCATCAGGGAATACGGACTTGTACTTTTCGAGCAACGACTGTGCGGCTGGGTGATGTTCGACGGTTTTCCTGGGAGGTGTTTCATCGGCAGGACGGACAACACAAAGGAATGCTTGATTTTTATCGAGTTGGCGCTTGAATTGCATTGCGGACATGACAGGAGTGTGGGTGGGAGTGGTATAGCCTTGGATAACAATATCGGGTTCGACACGGATGGTGTGCTTGGCAAGATCCAGTATAGGCTTTGGGACAGATCTTGCAAGCCAACGCTTGCCAAGGATGGCTTCGAATTTCGTTTGGATTACATTGAATTGGATGATGGGCTGGAAATTATGAGCCAGCTTTAATCGGATATGACAATAACGAGAACATGTAACGGGCTGACCACCTCCAAAAGTAACCACGATTGGTTCCTTTTTCTTGGACGTAGGGATACCGAGGCAACGAACAATTTCTTGACTGATGTAGTTGGCGTTGGCACCACAGTCGACTAACACGTCGAGCTTGGAACCTTTGATGTGCCCAGCAACATACATCAACTTTTCGTCTTCCGGTTCTTCAGGTAAGATCGGAAATTCGGACTCAATGGCAGACATGGTCAGCGCACTGGATTCGGCAGACGAGATAGATGGGGGTAACGGTGTCGACACATCAACTGGTGACGACGAAACAGTGGACGAGGACAGAACAGACGGTTCTGACGGTGCGGACAATGACGGACAAAACGGTGTCGACCCATCAAACGATGGCGACGAAACGACAGATGAGGACAGAACGAACGGTTCTGACGATACGGACAATGACGGACAACACGGTGTCGGCGACGAACTAACGGGCGAGGACGGAACGGACGGTTCCAACGATGCGGATGAAATTGATACGACGGTTAGTGGTTCCATCGAAGGAGGTATGCTCTCTGGAGTGGAACTGGATACTTGGACAGTGGTGGCGGTGGTCCCATTTAAAGCCCCAGAGCTCTTTAATGGGACGAGGCTTTTCCCGACTTGGGATTCTTAGGACAATTACGGATCTGGTGGCCAGTAGAATGACAGAGGAAGCAGGTGCGGTTCTTCAGATCTAACTTTCTCTGCTTTTCGTCATTTTGACCAGACATGGTATCCAATTCCATAGGCTGCGGAAAGGATTCGGGACGGGAGCGAGCTCGGAAACTTGACGACTGAAAGTTCGTGGAGTTGTGGAATTGTTCATTGTCGAGGCTTTCGGCAATGGCCATCATGGATGGAAGATCGGAACGGAGGGCGGGGTTTCCGGCGAAGTGCTCGCGAATCTTTGGCTTAAGGCCCATGAAGTAGCAGTGTGTTGCTTCAGCCTCACCAAAGTCATCAAGAACAGCTCGGAGGGTCTCGAACTGGTAGTTGTACTTGGTAACGGACTTGTCTTGCTTGAGGTTGTAGAGCTTTTGGCGTGCAAAAAGCTTGTTGTTGCGGCCTTGGAAACGTTGGAGCAGAAGGTTGCAAAAATGTTCCCAGGGGTCTTGACCTTTGGGGGCATTTGGTACATGAACGGCCCACTTGGCGGGGAGGCCATCAAGCAGCAGCTTTCCGGCGAGGACACGGTTGGCGGAGGTCAAGTTCATTAATTCGAAGTAACGATCGACCTTAAGGAGCCAGTCATGGACATCCTCGTTGGGTTTGGCAGAGAACTTGGACGGGGCGCAGGTGCGCAGGAAGGCTTGGAACGCGGGACTGTCAGACATGTTGACGACGAGAGGAAGAGACGGAACGATACTTGAACGGCGATGACGAGGAAGGTAGGTCGAACTCCTTTGCTACCATGCAACAAGACGAGGGGACGAGGAACGAGGAATGAGGGACGAGGGACGAGGGACGAAGGACGATTGTGCTTTGGAAGTTGTTTTTAATAAAAAGGTGAGTTTAAAACTAAGGCGCTATCTAGGTGTTGGTTGGGGAATTTATACGTGAGTGAATGCTAGATAGTTGTCGTGTTGGGTTTCTAGAGGTTTCTATGAGGCGTAGCTTTGATTAGTAATCAGAGGGAAGAAAAATCTAGAAATGTTGGTGGCGTCATAGGTTAGTGTAACCTTATCAGAGTGAAACTCTGACAAGGGGTGTAGGAGAGCTTGTGTCGATAGACCGTAAATACACTGTGATCTTCTGAGTGCTGTCTCCGGTGGGAGAGAAAGGGATAACTGGCTTGTGGCAGCCAAGCGTTCATAGCGACGTTGCTTTTTGATCCTTCGATGTCGGCTCTTCCTATCATACTGAAGCAGAATTCAGTAAGCGTTGGATTGTTCACCCACTAATAGGGAACGTGAGCTGGGTTTAGACCGTCGTGAGACAGGTTAGTTTTACCCTACTGATGAAAAATTGTTGCAATAGTAATCGAACTTTATCCTCTAGGAACCGTTCATTCGGATAATTGGTATTTGGGTCTGCCTGAGCAGGCAATGGCCCGAAGCTATCATCCGTTGGGTTATGGCTGAACGCCTCTAAGTCAGAACCCGTGCTAGAACGCGACGATTACCGCCTTGTGCCATTTTTAGTTGAATACGAATAGACCCACGGTCCTGAATCTTACGAACGTAGGCCTGCCTTGCAGAGCGGAAAGGCTTTGTGAGGCTCCTGCTAATGTTAATTTCAAATATAGCACGAGATAAATCCATTGCAGACGACTTTAATAGAACGGGGTATTGTAAGCAGTAGAGTAGCCTTGTTGCTACGATCTGCTGAGATTAAGCCCATTGTTCTATAGATTTGTTCGAAAGAACTCTTACGATATGAGTAGTCGACTCTCGGTAGAATCAGTTGACTCCTAATATGATCGGTCGTGTCGCGCCTTCATCTATTTGGTTGTTTGTTCTGGAAGAAAATGTGAGCGTTGACTATTTTGCCACAGCGGTAAAATGTGAGCGTTGACTATTTTGCCACAGCGGTAAAATGTGAGCGTTGACTATTTTGCCACAGCGGTAAAATGTGAGCGTTGACTATTTTGCCACTGCGGTAAAATGTGAGCGTTGACTATTTTGCCACTGCGGTAAAATGTGAGCGTTGACTATTTTACCCCAGCGTGACAGCGTTAAAATGTGAGCTTTGACTATTTGCCACAGAGGCAAAATGTGAGATTTGATTATTTTGCCAGACATGTTGAATTGACACAACAGTGACAACACTGCCCAAATCAATAGATATAAATAATGTCGTCGTTTCCTCCAGCTCAGTCTTCACTTAGTAACTTGGATACACTCACCACCTTGAAACCACCTTACCCTTGATCCTTGCTCTTGATCCTTGCCCTTGATCCTTGCCCTTGATCCTTGCCCTTGATCCTTGCCATTGATCCTTGCCCTTGATCCTTGCCATTGATCCTTGCCCTTGATCCTTGCCCTTATACCCCCTCCAGTCATCAGCCCCACATCAGCCCCGCACCTGGTGAAAAGGACCGTCTCTGCTCTACCCTGCCTGACCCAGTCTGGATTCGCGACAGTCTTTCTCTTACTTCACTTTCTTGACCATTCCCTCATTAACACTATCTTGCACTGTTGCTATTACAATTAGTGCATGTCATCTTCCAGTCATCTTCCATACCTTTATCCATCACTATCATCTTATCATCTTGCTCATCCTCTTCATTTTGTTCCTTCTTCCGCACCTCCTTCTTTTCCTCCTTCTTCCTTTGTTATCGTACCATCTTGTGATTCATCATCACCGTACTCGTCACCGCTCCCGATATGGTCACGTTCTGCAGCATTACAACTAAAATGTTCCGGACACATCCCCTCGATCTACACGAGATTCGCTCAATCATTGCCAGCAAGCTTGGCCACAAAGACCTCGCGAACTGTGCGCGCGTGTCTAAGGATTGGAACGACTCTTTTACACCTCCACTCTACAACACTGTCGTGTTGTCAAAACATGGCCTTAGCATGGAGTCTGTCGAGAAAAATAAGCACCTTATACGACGTCTGGGAATTCAAAGCTCTGTCTATAAAAAGCTATCGTCGACACCTGCACGAGACAAAGTAGTTTTTACTGTCATGGCTAACTCGACTTTAACCACTTTGGACTTGAGGAATAACTCGATCGGAGACAACGGAGCTCAGGCGCTGTCTGAGGCACTCAAGACCAACTCGACTCTGACCACTTTGAACGTTGCTGACAACTCGATCGGACCCAACGGAGCTCAGGCGCTGGCTGAGGCACTCAAGACCAACTCGACTCTGACCACTTTGAACGTTGCTGACAACTCGATCGGACCCAACGGAGCTCAGGCGCTGGCTGAGGCACTCAAGACCAACTCGACTCTGACCACTTTGGACTTGGGAAAAAGCTCGATCGAAGACAGCGGAGCTCAGGCACTGTCTGAGGCACTCAAAACCAACTCGACTCTGACCACTTTGACCTTGTTGGACAACTCGATCGGAGACAACGGAGCTCAGGCGCTGTCTGAGGCACTCAAGATCAACTCGACTCTGACCACTTTGGACTTGCGGGCCTTTTGCAATTTGGAAGACGGGGGCAACTCGATCGGAGACTATGGAGCTCAGGCGCTATTTGAAGCACTCAAGACCAACTCGACTCTGACCACTTTAGACCTGGGGGGCAACTCGATCGGAGATAATGGAGCCACCGTCTGAAGCACTCAAGACCAACTCGACTCTGATCAATTTCACCATGGGCGCCTCTTTGTAGGAGTTCTAATATGACTAACACGCGACGGTCATGTCAATGGTCAAAGATCGATCCTCTCTTCTTCTAGATGCCCCTTAAAATAAATGAATTATCACTCACATTAGATAATAGTGTTGCAAATATATGGTGTCACTGAGAACCTCCCCTGTCTGTCAGTTCTTTGATCTCGTCGTAGATTAGATCATGTAGATACTGCTGTAGTAGAAATAGTGAGGCAGCTCGACCTTTTGTTCGTTGTCCTTTCAGAAGATAACGACGACTGGTTGTAGCTGACCAGATTTATTGCAGGTACGACAGTAGAAACATTAAAAGGTCCTTTCAGAAGATAATGTTGCAAAAATATGGTGTGGCCGAGGACCCCTTTTCTGTCACCATAAATTAGATTATGTAGATACTGCAGTAGTAGAAATAGTGAGGCAGCTCGACTTTTTGTACGTTGTCCTTTTAGAAGACAACTTCACAACGCACCTGGTCGAGTAGCTGACCCGTTTATTTGCAGTTTGTTTCGTGAGATCTTGTTAGGATACTTCCCTTACTTCAACCAACAACCCCCTTTCCCCCGTACCAATTGAGGACTTAACAGCGGTCTTATAACTCTGGCCTCGACCCTCTCCCTGAGAAACAATAGATAAACTAATAAAGCAAACTTCCAACTCAGCAACCCGGCCGCCAGGACGATCGTTAAACTGCCCTTAACTTAAGCACATGAAAAAAGAAGAAAAAAGGAGAGAGAGGAGATGTTGTTCTTTCGAACAAATTTGTAGAACAATGGGCTTAATCTCAGCAGATCATAGCAACAACGTTACTCTACTGCCTACAATACCCCGTTCAAGTAAAGTCGTCTGCAATGAATTCATCTCTTCCAATATTTGAAATTAACATTAGCAGGAACCTCACAAAGCCTTCCCACTCTGCAAGGCAATCCCACGTTCATATGATTCTGGACCGTAGGTCTATTCGTATTCAACTAAAAATCGGAAAAGGCGGTAATCGTCACGTTCAGCACCGGTTCTGACTTGGAGGCGTTCAGCCATAACTCAACGGATGATAGCTTCGGGCCATTGCCTGCTCAGGCAGACCCAAATACCAATTATCCGAATGAACGGTTCCTAGAGGACAAAGTTCGATTACTATTGCAACAATTTTTCATCAGTAGGGTAAAACTAACCTGTCTCACGACGGTCTAAACCCAGCTCACGTTCCCTATTGGTGGGTGAACAATCCAACGCTTACTGAATTCTGCTTCAGTATGATAGGAAGAGCCGACATCGAAGGATCAAAAAGCAACGTCGCTATGAACGCTTGGCTGCCACAAGCCAGTTAATACATACTCCCTATGGTAATTTTGTTAGCACCTCTTCTTCAATTTCACAGTCACACCTTAATTCTTCTCCCGCTCCCCTCGAAAAAAAAACTGCCGCACATCTCGGTCGAAAATAGCTAGATCATTCTTTAGTCACATTCCAGCCACAATGTGAGAGCCTATCAGCTTCCAACATTAAGTCGGTGCTAAATCTCTTTTTCTCTTGCCTTTTGATTTTTTTGTTGTTCTATTTCTTTTGCCTCTGTTTTCTCATTGTTTTTTTTCTTTTTCTTTTCTTTATCTTTCAATACGCTTTTTTCTTTTTCTTTTCTTTACCTTTTTTTCCATTTCTTTTCTTTACCTTTTTTCCATTTCTTAACCTTTGAACACACTTCCCCCACACTCCTTCTCTCTCCCCTTGCCCTGCCTTGGGAAAGGTCATTCTCCCTCTGCCCTTTCCCCCGTTCTCGACAGGGTGTTTCCGACCACAATCAAGTACTTATCCACACCCGGTGCCGCAAACCTGGGTTCAGATTTCCCTATGTAGACTACCTGTACTATACTCTCTCGTTCCTCTTGTCTTATTGCGAAGGCGGCAATAGAAATCTACTTGCATAATCGATCACAGCAAGGGTCGACCGATCACTCGCATTGTAACACAAGAATCGGTTGGCCTAATGTAGACTAACCCGGTAAGTCTAAACCCTCTATAAATGGGCACGTGGACTCAAGAAGTCGACCTTAGGGCAATTTTCATGGTCAATGAATCTTCCATGCTCAAGGGGACACTACAAATACAGTATTGTTTTCTTTTTCCTCCGTCAACAATCAACCTCCGATTTCAACAACATGGACGACTACACACCTGCAGCCAGACCTTGACATACCATACTCTCATACCCTACAAGTACACCTAACTACAACACATATCCCAAGCTCGTATTAACTTCACTATTGTTGACACTCGCCACAAGCTGACATTTTTTTTCTTTTCATCAGAAAGCGAGAGCCCATCTCCTTTGTCTCCTCCCTCGGAAATATTTGTTGACAAACAATACGCCTACTTCCCCGGGTTGGGAATCCAGGCAAGCCAAGAAGCAAAGAGGGTTTCCCGTTCCGCAGTCGAGTTTGAAGCCATCTTGTCACAGTATGGCAAGCATGTTTTGCTTTGCCTTCCCCAGGGAACCACTCTAACCTTTTATACACTAGTATAAATACTTCTCTCTTCTTGTCCCGAGTACCCTTGTCTCTTCCTAGCCTGTCTCTCTACTTAGCCTTTCTCTCCTTCTAGTCTTTCTCTCGTCCTAGCCTTTACTCTTTCTAACCTTTCTCTCTTGTCTCTTCATTGTTCATATCACTTTGCCCCCCTCCTTATTACACGTCTGGATTACAATGGACATCCAAATCGTTATCAAGGATGATGTCCTTAGGGGCATTCTCACGAGCTTACTACTAGCTGTCGTCGGTGGATTCTTCGTTGTCATCGTCCAAAGCGCCAGGGAGGGAGTCACCCTTTGGTTGTACAAGCATTTCCCCAAGAACAGGGGCAAGTTGTACGTCATGGCAACATCTCGCGCTGGATCGTACTTGGATGTGCTTGGACTGTTCAACCTTCTCGGTGGATTTCCAATGTTTGCCGTCTTGCTGCTCATGACCATTGGTATACTGGGCCAGACCTTCTCGGGTCTTGTCGTGAGCACCAAAAATATCCCCACAGACTTGTGCACCAGCGCTGGATGCTTCTCTACAGGATTCGGGAAGAATCTACTGGAAGGGTACGACAACGCCACAATTATCCCTCCGGAGAAGACCTTGGATTTCACATCGATAAACAACTTTGTGCTGCAAAGCCTCAACAACACCATCACGTCGGGTTTGCCATGGAGGGCAAGTAATCCGAGACCACTTACTGCTGCCAACTTCCCGCCAGAGATTCATCAAGTTCCATTGGAGAGGTTGAGCAGACGAGTGGAATTTACCGGCTTCTTCGACATTGTGCTTGTAATGGGATTTGGGCTGAGAGTTGAATACGCGAATGGCACCTCATTCTGGTTGACGCCAGGAGTAACAGAGGCAACTCCCTACGAGGAATTTGACAATGGATGGACCATCACCGACGACATACCGGGTGGTACGTTAGGCGATACCAAACTGAGGAAACTCGTCTTGTCAACAAACACCACTGTCGGGATTACATTGTTACTTGGCACGGCGTCCGAACAACGCTTCGGCAACAAGCAATCCTCGAAGGAATTAATCGATCGTATAGTGGGAGGGAACAATACCGACATTCTGAGAACGACTTACATCGGGGGATTCGGATACCAGAGTTGGTTAGCCATCGTGGATCTCACCTTCCGGGCACGAAGCAAGGGGCAAGTCAACCGACTCGAGTTGTCCAACATCGTCCATGTAAGACAGGAACACCCCGCTGACGCTGACCCCATTTTCAGCGCGGTGTTAAAAAAACTTGAGTGCCTGAGCTATAATCACGTGTGTCACAGTGGACGAAGAGTACATAAGGACTCTTCGTCCCTGAATAAACAGACCCCTCTCTTTGTTTCGTTATTTCTATTTCCCCCGGTTAATATTCTCCAGTGCCAACTCGAAGGTGTTGGGGAACTATAGTCGAGAGCTCCAAGCGGCCTATCGTGAGCAGGGCGCCACCTCATCCGTGTTTGAGATGGGTGACTTTCTCAGCTACGTTGCTACTTGCTTCGCCATGGCGGTCTCTCAAACGCGACCAATTGGCATGATCAAGGGGTACGAACAAGCCGGCATCATCACACCCGCCATCACTATCAAGCTGGTGTTGGCTATCCCATTACTGTTGGTCACTATCGCCTTCCTCGTTCCGTACGCCATCGTTACCATCAAGTTATACACCAACAGCGACAATTGGCTCTCGTACAAGCTCCACGTAGATGCTCGAGAGTATATCATCAACTTGTGCCATTCGAGGTTCCTCGTCAACAAGGTGCGAGATGATGGCGAGGTCTTGAGAATCATCCGCGATAATCATGGCGATGATGGGCCGATATTCGAGGTCGAAAAGTTGGATATGTAAACTGCGAACTATCTTCTGCAGTTGCATCATACGACTTCCAGGCAGGAGAGCCCAACGAACTTTCCTTCAACAAAGACAAAGTCATCGCCGAGATTGTAGGTTTGTAGTCCCTATTCAAAGGTTCAAATATGCATGCCTTTTAAAGATTGTCCTTGCTAATCCCCCCTCTTTATTTTTAAACAACCACTCTACATTTACCAAATAGGAGCAATGAGTAGATGAATGGAAGCCCGAGGCTATGGTTATTGTTGGATCCTACTGCATTAAAGCTGGGCAACAACCGACCCAACCACAGCAGGCACGATAAAAGCGAAGAAGAATAAAGAAAACGCAAAAAAAGTTACAGCCGCGTATTTCCATGCGATTCCTCCACCATGGTAGTGATGGGAAGACTTGAGGTCTTGATAAATGAAGAGAATGGAGAAGAGCTGAGGAAAGGATAAAGAACAGTGTTTTTTTTCTCTTGAATGCTTTACCTGGCCAAGCATGACGTTAGCAGATGCAAAAAGGGGCTTACACGCATGACTTGACACAAAAAAAAATTGCACATGGAAAAAGAAAGGGTTACATTTGGTCACAATTGCAAATACAGAAAAGAAAGGGGTCCATTTGGGCACAATTGCATGTACAGAAAAGAAAAGGGCCCACTTGGGCACATGGAAAAATTGTGCACATAAAGGAGAAGGCCCATTTGGGCGCAACTGCCCATTTGGACGCGATTGCCCATTTGGACACAACTGCCCATTTGGAACACAACTGCATATACAGTCTATAAAGGAAAGGGCCCATTTGGGCGCGACATCGCCGCAGACAAGCTTACCCTCTGGCGCGTCTCGATTCCTGTTGCAGACGACAACGATGACGATGACGACGACGACTTGCCAATTCATCTCAACAATATACCCAAAGATGACAAGAAGAAACTCAAGGCAACTCGTGAGCTCCGCGATGTCTTTGGCGATGAGGCTGCCAAAAACATGATCCACATCATCGTCCAGCGACCACCGCCAGGTAATGCATTTGTGTTTAATCTCAATTACGCCTTTCGCCTGGCCCATTCATTACTCTAACTTTATTTCATCTTTGCGTTACTCTGACGTAGTCCCTGCTCGAGCTCTTACCCCTCCCTCGGATACTTCTCGTCCCGGCACGCCGCTGTCTGGTGAGTTCGGTCAACACGACGTCATTACTCTCTTAGTTGTAATTGAAATGCTTGTAATTAATGCCTGGTTCTAATCGTTTCATTTTTCTCTCAACAGGTGACCTCCGGGCGGACATCAAAAAAATAGCTGACCGATTCTTTGCGACTGGATCTGCTGCCTCTGACTTTCTGGACGCGTATGTGCGAGGCGAATTCAAGTTGCCCGTCACGACCACCGGAATTAAGGAAGGTCCTACGGCGAGGCGTCTCGAAAAAAGTAGAATCGAAACCGAGTCTTCTCTTCTTGGATTTACCAGTCCCTCCGTCCAAAGCTGGCGACGCTGTCCCCGAGAGATTTCGATCGAACGTGCTGCTGGAGAGACTGGAGGGCATGCAATCCCAGGATTTACCGGTGTTCGGCGTTTCAGGATGCGGAAAAACTCGATCGGTGATTGAGACGCTCTGTCTCCAATGGGGGGTTTTTTTAATGCTGCAAAGAGTGATCTTGGATCAGGTGATCTCAGCCAGCTTGCTGATTTCATAGACAAAAAAACGGTGGAGGAACAAGGTTCTGAACAGAATACCGCCTTTGCAAGGAATATGACCCTTGTACTTTTCCTCTCGTGACTGTTGGTTCTGAAATACTGTCTGCGAGTCCCCGGTTGCCGTCAGACATTTTCAAGTGCGAGTTGGGCCGTTCTCCAGGTTTGTCCTCACATGTTCGAGGATGTTTTCATGGACCTGTTTAAACTGTTGTTTAAGCGGTTGAACGAACGTTTACTTTTCGAGCTAGTACTCGCAACTATCATTCAAGACGTATTCTTGTTGGTGCGCGAGCTGCTGACTGGTCATCAATACCCAAACTTCACGATTGGGTCCAAGTTGAGGCTAGTCGTGGACGAAGCACAGATTCTGAGTGACAAGGGCAGTTCAAAATTCCGTTCTTCTTACCTGGAAACCGATCCGCGACCAATGTAAGTGAAAAAAAATGACACTATGGAAACAAAAACAAAACATCATAACACCTACTACATTTGGTGGATCACTAGCAGACTATGTGGCTAACAAATTTTGCTTGATGTCCTTGAAGGTTGTCTCCTGTACTCCACGGCTTTCGAAACGCTGGTGGTCCAAAGGAGCTTACGATCATCTACTGCGGGACAGGATTGAGCATCGAGGGAATGCTCGAGATCGGCAGATGGGATACTGCCATCGACAAGACGGAGACCGTGATTACATCTTAGAAGGATCGACAGCGCCGAGGAAACTTGTGCGGAGAACTCAGCCGGTGAGCTGTTGTCCTTATTATCTCGACTGAATTATTCCATTTCACTGCTTACTACTACTTACTTTAAACTGATGTATTGGTGTCTCTTTTCATCACCCACTCACTCACTCTAGTTTGGAGACCAAGATGGCCGACCATCCTGAGCTCTTCATCTCATGCTCATCGATCTGGGAAACGCTAGGACTCTTCTTTTTCACCATCATATACTGGACGTTCCCTCAACGGTGCTTGAAAACGATGTCCAGTTGGTGGAAGCAGCGTTTGGTCGTATCGAACTTTTTGGAGGTACCGCAAGGACTGTTCTCGACGAACCACTAGCGTTGAAAGCGACCATCAACTACTTCCAGGAGAGGGATCCGTCGTTCGTATCGGCGGCAGAACGAGCGATGCTACACTCTGATAACCCTTCGGTACACGGAAACATGTGGGAAAGATGCCGCCCGTCTTTATTGAAACGTTTAAGAGTCGACTGTTGTCGCGTGGCCTTTGTTGACCAATATTTCTCTTCCGGATCAATACACCGGGGATGTGACCATTGTTGGATATGACGAGAAGCAACCAAAACTCGCCATCTCACACAAAAACATCACCACTCAGCGTTTTATGAAGGCGCACGTTGAGAACAACTCCAAGCAGGGCGATCAGGATATCCCTTCATTCTATTTCCCAACACCTCATGTCTCGGGACCGGACATCATTTTTTTGGTCAAGATCAACGAGCTATTATACCCTGTTTTTGTCCAACTTTTAATTTGCGACAAGTTCTTGAGAAAAGTGATGTCGAGAAGGCACTTGCAACTTCCAGCAGCCATGCCATTCAGAGGAAGATGGGAAAGGGGCAAGAGAAGATGGAAAAGGAGCAGGAGAAGCAACAAAAACTGCGGCAACAGGAATCGACTACAAGCGTCCCATCTGATCTACAGCAACCACCACAACTACAGGACTACTGCCCCACAGGGACATATATCAGCATGGTAATCACCTACTCTGCTGAGGTTGTCAATTTCCAAGTTGTTCGGCCTGATCCCAAGCCCGAACTTGAGGGCCTCCAACGTGTGTCCATCGGAATCGACGACAGCAACTTTCCGACGATCTTTCCACGTCGCCACGTCGATTTTCTGGACAAACTAAAAGGCCACAAACGGTGCTCTGAAGAGCAACAATCTCAAACATAAAAAAAGATGAGGGCGAGTGATCCCTCACTATGCAACAAGCGACAAATTGTTAGATCAGCAAAACGTTAATAAAACATTATTCCGTACTTTCTTCTCGATGTCTTGACGGTAATATTCGCCACCGATGTCTCCTTTACCACTGGCTGTAATAGCAACAGAGAAAGAGATGGTGATAAGACTGGAACTGGTAGATGGTAGAAGGAAGAGGCAGAAACGAATGGTGTTTATTGTACAACAGGTACGGGTATTTTATGTGTGGTATGCAAATGAAAAGGGGCGCGAAATGGAGGGTGAGGAATGATGGTAGAGGAATGAAAGAGTGAGGAATGTGGCACGACATTAATGCATACTATGATACTGTACACTGGCCTTTCCACTTCCACCGCTGCCAAGTACGCTTTCCTTCAACCACTAATGCCTTCTTCAATTTCCATCACTGCTGCCTTCTTTCCCTCCTTACCACTATTACTTTTGCTTCCTCTACGCCGACGGACTGATTGCTTTATATTTTGGTTGTTGCATCCATAACGAGCGACACTACACCTTTTTATAGTGGTAGGTAGGTACATGAGTTTGTACATCGTTTCGTTATTATAATGATCCGTCATAACACTCCACTCAATTTATAATAGACTTTCACCATTCATTCAGTTGCGACAAATAAACTTTCATCGCCCTGTTCAAACGTGGTCTATCACTACCTCCTTAAGTACCCAGTCCAATCAGCTGCGATTCGGATAGAGTTTCTCCGCTCATAACTGCTAAAGATAATCGTGAAACTTTAATTTCTAAAAGGTGCAGAAGGGCGCCCACTTTTCTTAGCGGCTTGTCAATTGCATTCTCCGCATCGCAAAAAGAAAGTGGGTGAAAGCTTATTTTGTCAAAGGTAGGAATAAAATTCCCTTAGGTTTTAATAACTGGCTTGTGGCAGCCAAGCGTTCATAGCAACGTTGCTTTTTGATCCTTCGATGTCGGCTCTTCCTATCATACTGAAGCAGAATTCAGTAAGCGTTGGATTGTTCACCCACTAATAGGGAACGTGAGCTGGGTTTAGACCGTCGTGAGACAGGTTAGTTTTACCCTACTGATGAAAAATTGTTGCAATAGTAATCGAACTTTATCCTCTAGGAACCGTTCATTCGGATAATTGGTATTTGGGCCTGCCTGAGCAGGCAATGGCCCGAAGCTATCATCCGTTGGGTTATGGCTGAACGCCTCTAAGTCAGAACCCGTGCTAGAACGCGACGATTACCGCCTTGTGCCATTTTTAGTTGAATACGAATAGACCCACGGTCCTGAATCTTACGAACGTAGGCCTGCCTTGCAGAGCGGAAAGGCTTTGTGAGGCTCCTGCTAATGTTAATTTCAAATATAGCACGAGATAAATCCATTGCAGACGACTTTAATAGAACGGGGTATTGTAAGCAGTAGAGTAGCCTTGTTGCTACGATCTGCTGAGATTAAGCCCATTGTTCTATAGATTTGTTCGAAAGAACAACATCTCCTCTCTCTCTTCTTTTTTTTCTTTTTTTTTTTTCTTCTTTCAGTTGTTTAACTTAAGGGCATTATATTAGTTTTTTTGAGAAAACTTGTACCTTTTCACCCCCCCCTTTTTTTTAACACGGCCCGCACTATATGCCTGTTGCATCTCAGTGTCTGTCCACTCAATCCTCATTCTCTATTAAGGGTAGCAGTATTATATATATTATCATAGGGCTCAAAGATCCTAGCTTCTTTCTCAGCATCTTTCTCTCCCCAGCTGTTTATATTACAATGCCTACTATTGGTCCTTTATGCCCCCTTATGCCCTTTGTGCCCATTTATGCCCGGTGTAGCCCCTTTATGCCCATTATTGCCCCTTTATGCCCATTTCTGCCCATTTATGCCCGGTGTAGCCCCTTTATGCCCATTATTGCCCCTTTATGCCCCTTTATGCCCATTGATGTCCCTATATCCCTTTGTGCCTGATGCATATTTACAAAATGCTCTCCGTAAAAATATAAATAAAGAAGGAATGTAACTTTTTTTACTCATATATCTTATCATCCATCTTCAATTCCCCGCCCGTCTTTATTCTACAGCAGCACAATGTCCAGCAAGGCCAAACTCATTATTACTGTAGGAGGCAACATTGAAGTCATCTTTACTCCGCCCTATTACTGTGTCTGTGAGGCCAAACATTCGACGAAGCGAAACTTGCAGCGACACATTCAAGGCTGCAAGGATAGACACCCATGCGAGAGCATTGAGGGTATCTTAAAGCTCAAGCTTCAAAAAACATGTACATTCGAAAACGACCGCTTTTCTGCCAGAGTGATGTCTGATTCAGTTATGGTAGATACAATGTTTATAAAGAATTTCAAGTCTTGGCATGCCATTGGTATTGAAACCCTATAGCTTATTAACCATGTTTATTTACTTTTCGATTGTACTTTAGACTCCAGACATTTCAAGTCCATTGGTTGCTTCCTCTACTTCTTCTGCTTCCTCCGCCTCTTCTGCAACCCCTGCTTCATCTGCTTCCCCTGCCTCTTCTGCAACCCCTACTTCATCTGCATCCTCTGCCTCTTCTGCAACCCCTGCTTCATTTACACCCCTCAGCATTACGCAGGATCAATATCAGTTCATTCTATCTCGTCTGGAGAATCTACCTACGCAGAATCAGATGCAGTCTATTTTATCTATGATGAGTCGATTGGAGAATCAATCTATGCCGGATCAGATCCAGTCTCTTGTGTCAATGATGGGTCGTTTGGAGGATACGGTTATGGGGTTACGTGCTGATGTATCCAAAACTTCAGAATGGACGGAGAGAACTATTCATGAGCGAAGGCATCGTCGGCAAGTATCTCCATACTCATCCACTACATCCCTCACTCCCTCACCCCAAAGAAGACACCCCCGTGTAATAGGATTGTAGATTGCCTCCTGCTTTTGGCTGCCTTGTTCCTTACTTCCTTGTTAATATCTTGTGTATCAGTCTTACACACTACCCCTGCTTATTATTACCTCGCCATTATCCCTCACATCATAGACGTATAAATACCCTGTCCCTTCTGTACAATAAACCTCATTCCTCCTTGCCCTTTCCTCTTGTCCCTACACCCTCTTGTCTCTTTCCCTTGCTATTCTCCTTGCCTCTTGTCTTCATTCCTTGTCCTCACCCTTGCCTCTTCTCTCTTGCTCTGCTCCTATTACACCCCACCTATCCAATTCCACCAGCCCTACCGCTAGTCAGCACAGTATTATGAGCTTTTCTAAGCGGCCTCTCCATGTGCAAAGGAGATAATAAGGCATATACAAAATATCCAAAGCCCAAGGAATACAGTGTTGACTTCCATAGCTGATGTATCTCTTTAAAGTCGGCAATAGAACATGAGATAAAATAGCAATAGATAGCACATGTTTTTTTAAAATGTAATCTCTCCCCTGTATTTCACGACAAAAATACAGTTGAGGGTACAGGTGCTTTAGATGATCACATACAAGAAGTACTACCCTTAATCTTGCAGTGAGGGTTACAGTTTAATAGTAGATGGACACATTCAAGAGATTGGTGTGCGAAAAATAAGAAGACTTTGTTGTTTGGAGAATAGGTTGGTGTTTAGTAGAATAGTTATGCAAGGGATGTTACAGTGGTTGTTTTACATGGTGGATATTATACATACACTCTCCTCTAATGGTCGCTGTAGATATTGTCAAGGTCTGCAGAGATGTAACATATACTATATTACAATTTGGACTTGAAAGGCCTCCTAATGTAACAACTAGCACACCAAGAGAGTATGGCGAGAAAGAATAAATATTGTTTTTATTGTTTATTTATATGAAAGAGAAGAGAGAAGAAGAGGGTATAGAGGAATAGGGGACAATAAATAGAAAGAAAAGTAGGTTGTTGTAGCCAGAGGAACTAGAGTGCATTCCAAGAGAACCTTTAGAATAGCACTGACATTTAGAATAATCATTCCACATTACAATTACAAAAACTAAACACACCGTTCTTCTCCACCCTCTTTGACTTGCTTCCGGTCAAACTTATACTAATTTCAACAATAAATGAATAGCTCAATGTAATGAGAGACAGGACAGTAACTGTTATTGTTTCGTAGAAAGTAAGGACTATACTACAAGTATTGCTGAACAGTGGGGTGAGGAAAGATATCCATCCATTGGGTTGGAAAGTCAAAGATTTCCAAATCGGCCAAGCTGCGAACTCTGCTCAGGGCAACATAGGCTTGTCCTGATGCAAATGTATTGGACAAGTCCACAATGATCTTGTTCAAAGTCAATGACTGAACTCGGTGAATTGTCATAGCATAAGCAAGCGTGATGGGGAACTGTTTTCGAGTCTGCTTGCCGTCCAATGTCTCCTGAGTGTGGCGTCTCAGGCGAATTACGGCTCCAGTCTCGTCCATCTGCAAAACAATAATAACGTCCTCAAATCTCAGAATGGCGGCCATGGCTCCATTCACCAAACCATTCTGAATGTCCAAGTTGGCAGTGATCATCACTCGGGCGCCGACCTTGAGACGTAGTTCGGTGTCGAGTCCCGTCTCTCGCTCAATTTGGTCCTGCCGCCAATCACTAATCCTTCCACCCACTCGTGTATCGACGGCTCTGGAAAGGAAGAGAGTAGATGGGATTCGAGCAAGACAGTTGGAGTTCATGTTGCCGACTTTGACTCGAGTGCAGGCGATAAAAGTGGCACCGTCATCAACGATTCTTGCGAGTACACGTTGTACATCACCAATCTGTCTCGCTCTCAATATGCGGTCCAAGTTGTGAATGTCTTGGGGAAGCTGGGATCCATTCCGAACGATCGAAAGCGTGTTGATGAAATCTTGATCTTGTGCCTGTCGGTGGATCGTCTTGAGGCGAATCCTTCTGAAATCGCCAAGCAAAGGCGACTCGAAAAGCCATTGCGCCTGTGGGTCGCCTTCCTTAACAATTGGGCCAAGCTGGCCAAAGTCGCCAAACATCGCCACCGGCACTCCTCCAAAAGGTCTATATTGATCCGTAGGGTTTTGAAAGACCTTATTACAAACATCAGAAAGTCCCTCAAACATATCTCGACCGAGCATCGAGACCTCATCTATAACAAAGAAAGGTCGCCTGTGCCGGACCACATCCATGGTGTGTACCTTGGCATCGAGGGTGTAGGCTGACCTAGATGCCGTATCCTGCGGTCGGAATAGGCCAAAGTACGAGTGAATGGTCTGCCCATCGATATGACGCGCTGCAACCGCGCTTGGAGCGATGACGATCGGCTCATACTCTTCTTCATTCCTGAGTTTATCCACCAAGGCCATTAGAATCGTCGACTTTCCTGAGCCTGCAGCACCGGTAATAAGATATTGGCCGGGTAATGTTGCAAGAGTATCGACAATAAACTCCTGAGGGAGCGAGAGCTGAACGGGTTGAGGCGGTGGAAGGGGCCCAGTTTGGCCTGGATGAACCATGATAAACTCTGCAGAAACCTCTTGGAGTATTCCTGGAATGAGCCTCTCCAGTTGCTGGTTGGTGAAGAACCCCTTTGCGATCTCAGAGTAGGACGAAGCATGCGTGAACTCCAGCCAACGATCAGTGTCCAGTCGAGTAGGCATGTAGAGCATTAAAAAGTGCAAACAATAGTCCTCCCTGTCGGTCAGCGATGGAGTTCTCCAGTATGGCAGAGACTGATTGCCAGGCTGATACTGCTTGTAGCGACGGGGCTTGGGTACCTTGAGATCTTGATATTGTGTTCCGCCGGTTTCATAAACCTGACGGAAATTGGTGGCAAAGTCCACGTATGTCATCTGGTTGAAGTTGATCGTATTTGTTGAGGCTGGTCGAAGAAGGTATCGGGTGTAGGCGCCAGCAAGCCCAATGTCACGGCTCTGCGGATCGAGTTGGCGCAGGTCGCGGACCCTCTTGATGACGGGTCGCCGATTTTCTACGGCGTCTGTTGGGAGAAACATAACGGACCGTGACATCTGCGAGAAGTGGTATCCGAGCATATCCATTGTTAGCTCGACCAAGCCAAGCCTTTGGTATCGAATGGCCTTCTTCCCTTCCTCGTCTTCGTCCGATCCAAAGTAGACTGCTCCTGTGTGGACTTGTCCAGGCTTTGACACATACTTGGATATATAGTACATGGCCCGCTCGCCTCTGTTATACTGCAGGTCCATGTTGCATCTGCAGTAACGCAAGAGCTCGCCGTTGTAACAGTTGATGAATCTGTCGGCCTCCGTTCTACGCTTATACCGGTATCGCTCGTTGTGTTGGTCAAAAGCTGTTGTATCTGCCAGCGCCTGGGGGAACCCGAACCGGCATCTGACGCCTGAGGGCTTATTAGCGCTCTCTCGTCTGCAGTAGTCTGTGCAGGGTTGTCGATGTCTCTGGTGGGTGTTGACCAACTCCGCTAGCTCTCTCCTCTCAGCATCGTCCTCTCTAACAGGCATTGCTGTCGCCTCGATAACGTTTCCTGCAATCATCTCGTCGATGGACTTTCGAGTCCAAAGGCAGAAATGCACATGTGGAACCCCTCGACCTTGAAATTCGACCACATAGAGCCATGCCAACAATCCTCCTGTGTGCACGGGGGCCCAGTTCCTCCTAATAAAGTCCCACTTGTCGATCCAATCTCGGTTGTAGGCTCGGAGAAATCGAGGGATGTCGTCCAAGATCGTACCTCCTGGTGTGGTGACGGCTTTATATTCCGGGTTCTCCAGATTGACCGTAAACGTACCAAACAGATGGGGTGCCCCATATTGGCCAAAGAACTTTCGTGCACGTTGTCGTAGATCCATCCGATATCCCACACCCAGTCTGACGGTCCGTGGGATTGGGATAGTCTGGCCCTCACGGTAACCACCTCGTCCTATTGTAATTAATTTACATATTAATCATTGCTTATAAGGATGCATACTTTTTATTTCTACTATGGAGACTCTTAACGTTATGTCAACAACATCAACAACAACAACAAGGACAAGAACAAAAAACACTTACTGTTCAAGACATCTGCCACGGTCGTCGGTCTGTCACCTCGGCGCATACTTGTTGTTCTCATGTGGAATCCTGAGGTAGCCTTTTTGATGTTCCAGTCAGACATAAAGGCTATGAAGCGAGTGTTCCTTGCCCAACGCCGACAAAAGTGTTGGAGCCGATACTTGACATAGTCCTTCAGTGTCTTGCCAACACGCCCTGCTCCTGCCCCGCCCGGTACAGCGCCTTGAGCGTCACCACCACCTCCGTCGTCCGGCGGATCCATGTTCACATCATTCTCACCATTGTTGTCATTGACTTGTCCAACAAGGTTCCGATCATTCCCCTCAAGCTTGAACGAGCCTGTTCCAAGTGGATACAGATCTGGAAACAACATCGGCAGCAGATCTGGGTTGCCGTAACGCACAAGTTGTTCTTCCGAGAGGTCGAACCCGATGTTGATGTTTTCCAAGTTCTGATTGGCTGCTCTTGGCCCGGGATCGGTCTCCATCAGGAACTCTGTATCAAACCCCTGACGGTTCACCGGCTGCGCCCTTGGTACATCCTCTGTCAGCTCCTCATCGTTCGTCGGCGGTTCGTTGGCAAGGTTGAGAGCTCCGGTATCCTCTGGTTCGACAAACACTGCATTGGCGTAGAGGTGGTTATTTGCTCGAAGAAAATCCCACGCTGTCAGGACTCGATCCACATCCACCGCCTGTCCTTCCTCCGTTGGGTCCAGAGCAATGGTAGGTTGCCCATCCACAACCTCGGAAAGTCCCAGAAAATGCTTGCTCCGATAGATGGAAACCCGACCGCTCAGCTCTGGAAAAGCCATGCGGGCGTCACCTTGGCTCGACCTATGAGGAGTGGTGAGGGTCGAGAATGTCATCACGCGACACAAGTATTTCCACTCGTTCCAAGAGATTCCAACGAGCTCGTCTGGCGTCTCTTGAACGTCATATCCACCATCAGCTGCTGGTGTGGCCATGGGGTTTGGCCAGTTGGTGTTGATATAGTCCATCTAGATGATATCCAAGTAAAACGCCAGCCAACTTGTTTAAGTAACCATGCATAGAAACATGTAGGCACAACGACACACACGTAAACAGAAAAAAGGGAAAATAATGACCCAGTGCACATGTATCTATGATGTCATGTTTTGGTTTTTTTTTCTTACCAGCTGAATGGATGTCGCGGTGAGTTTTTGATGAGTGGCGCATGCGACATAATCCTGCCCAATTCTACATGGCTCAGCCCCGTATTGCAAGCAGGGCCAAGGCAGATCATCGAAGTTGACTTGGATATTGTCAGCCGCCCTCAGACGGTGCTTTTCATCAGGGTAAAGCTCCTTGCAGCATACTGAGCAAAACGAAGACAGTTGTTGAATGTGCCTTGCTGCTCTGTTTCGTTGTATTGTTGGCGTGAGTGCGGTGGACATGTTGTGCTATTTGAAAGAGAGTTTTTTGATACAAGGAAAGAAGAGGAAAAAGATGGTGTGGAAGGTTGATGAGTGAAAGAAGAGGAAGACGGTGTGGAAGGTAGATGAGTGAAAGAAGAGAAAGGCGGTGTAAAACGTAGATGAGTGAAAGAAAAGAAATGCGGTGTGGAAGGTTGATGAGTGAAAGAAGAGCAAGACGGTGTGAAGGGTGGATGAATGAAAGAAGAGAAAGGCGGTGTGGAAGGTTGATGAGTAAAAGAAGAGGAGGAAGACAGTGTGGAAGGTTGATGAGTGAAAGAAGAGAAAGACGGTGTGGAAGGTTGATGAGTGAAAGAAGAGGAGGAAGACAGTGCGGAGGGTTGATGAGGAGTGAAAGAAGAGGAAGGAAGGAGGATTCAGTGCATGGTCGAATGTGTCAAGAGAGGGGTTATTTTATTTCGCACCACGCAACCCATGGTCACGTTCATACTATGGTGTCAACGTCATCATTCTCCTTACCGCTCTCTTGTTTTTGCGATTACACTGATTCACCCTTTACACTCCATCAGCTACTCCCTTTGTATCTTTTCAAACGATTCCCTCGCTAACATGAAGCCCCTTACACGACCCATTAAAGAGACTACCACAGAAGAGATTCAACAAGACAAATCTACCAGGCAGGTTGCATGCAACCTTTGGATGACTGACTCATAGGTAATCAGAACTAGGAACAAGGAAAAGAAAAACATCTACCAGCCTCATCTCGGCAGACCTAGGAAGATCACATCAAGGAAAAGGACGAATCTTGCGTACTCAACACGGAGAAGCCGAAACTCACACGGGAACAGATCACAAAGAGGCTCAGATTCGTAGAACACATTCACTGGACGGTCGAGGATAGGAAAAAAGGAATGTTCTCTAATGAGTGCTTCTTCAGTCTCTTTGGGTCCTTCGGCAAGAAGTAATACTACAATAGACGCCAGCATCACCTGCCTCACCAAGATCGACCGAACAACAGGGCTGTAGAGGGAAATAATGGTAAAGGGACGCGTCTGATATTCAGGCACTGGCAAAGTGATGCCAAGACATTTTTCAAGAGCTTGTGAATATTTCCAAGCTGATGCATATCGAAAGCTAATCAACATTTATGATCAGTGGTCCACTCGCCTAGATCCTTCGCACTCGCTAAATCGCCTCGCACTCTGATCAAGATGGCAAGTGTGTGCTAACCTATATGTCATGCGCTTGATGGTTGATCAAACCTCGTTCAGTCCTTTTGCTACTTCAGTACCTCACATCTCACCTCTTTTTTCTTTTTCTTCTCACCACTTAACCACACATATATGTCACCCCTTCACTTTCTCTTTACTTCACAATACACATCCACTTCTTCCTCTTTGCAACAAAATACACTTCTTACCCATGTCATCCGCCAACCTTCCTTCACGCATCTTTCTCAACAGGGAGGTCGTCACCGTCCTTGACAACGTTTCCCAAAATTCGGCCGGGACACGACTTGAGATACCCTTTTCTTGGTCATACCGACCAAATGCAACACAGAGGGCCAAACCTATATTTCCTATGGAACAAACATACGTCTTTACAACCAAAACTTCAAAGTTCGTCAAAAGGGACTTGCTGAGCATCAAAAAGGATGATATGCTTTGCCTCACCGGAGATGTCATCTGTCATTGCTACAACATTGGTGGCAATCTCGTCTATGCGCCCTCCATCACGCCAGAAGCCATCAAAAAACACAAGGGGCACGGTCCTATTGTGGACTTTGCCGACGTGGTAAAGAAGAAAACATGGGGCAAACAAGCACAAGTAAGTTCTATTTATTTTTCCTACAGTCCTCTCTTTTTGTTCTATGATAAGCTGTGTAACACAAAGCCTTCTTACTTCTCTACTGGTAGGAAGAGTCGGCTCTGGAAAAGGAGATAGCGGCGAAGATGCAGGTGGCCGTTAATAAGAATCAGGCGATGACGAAGCGCGTAAGTGCCATTATTATCCTTTCTCGTTCTTTTTTGCTTGTTGCATTTTTTATTGACGCCGTACTCTTTATATACCACTTGGTCGTTTCATATAGGCCGCCAGCTCGGAGCTTGCCCACGAGGCGCTCAAGAAGATCGCAAGCCAAGGCAAGACAGCTATTGCTCAAGATGTCGAAGACGTTGTGGAGGTTCCCATGGACCCGGTCAAGGATACTTTGGAGGATGAATTGAACCTACAGAAAGGAATCCGTCAATCCATCATGGCCATGAACCTCATTGGAGGAACTCCAAATGCTGGAGAGTCCTCCTCAACAATAGACGTTTCCACGAAATCCCGCCGGTCGTCGATGGCTACTCTTCTCACCCGTAGCATGAAGTCCCCCTCCCTCTCTTCAGGATCCGACCAAGAGCCCGCCTCACGTCGCCCTTCCATGGCCTCCCTTTTTGGAGGCGACGGTGGCCAGTCAGCCCAGCAACCTTCTCCAGCACAAGCCACTGAGGAACAGGAGCAGGAACAGGACGAGACCCTCAGAAGGAGAAGGCCGGTGCAAAGATCCCACTTGCGATTCCAACCACCTCTCACTACCGCCAACCCTCCGGGAAAGAAGAAGGCTGTCCCCGAACAGAGTCAGCAAGGAACGCACCAGTCAGAAAACCTTGTACCCACCATTGATCCAACTGGGGCCCCTTCTTCCGTCAAGAAGGGAAAATCCAAGAGGGCGTAAGCGGTGTCAAAGTGCACGGCGACACGATGCCTTCTAGACCCAAGTTGAACTTCAAATCACTCCTTCATATGCTCCTTACATAACACATACATGCAGAAGTTCAATTCACTCCTTCATTTGCTCTTGACATATAAAGCACACAAGTCATCCCATAATTCTTTTGCACACACAGAAACAAGAGCAAAACAGAAAAAATAAAATCCTTTGATTTGCAAAAAGAATTCCTTTCCTTTATCTCCATGCTCAGTCTAATGCGACAAAGATATCCTGTCATTCTATTATCCTTTCATCCTCTTGTCCTCTCTTTCTCTCATCCTCTCATCCTTTTGTCCTCTTGTCCTATCATTCTTTCATTCTCTTGTTCTCTCATCCTCATCCACTCATCCTCTTATGTCCTTATATCCTCTTGTTCCCTTGTCCTTTTGTCCTCTTGCTCTCTTATCCTCTTGTCCTCTTGCTCTGTTATCCTTTTGTCCTCTTATCCTCTTGTCATGTCATCCACTCATCCTCTCCATCTTCTTTCGTCTGCATTTCAGAGATGTTAAAATACACAGGGTGCATATCACCAAGCAGGGTATTCAGGATAAAGAGATCCCATTTATTGCACAAGAGATGGATACTACAAGCGCAGAAGGGGGAGAGAGAGTGTGTATGTGCATATGTATATGTGTGTACATGTGCATGTGCAGAGAGTGTGAGAATTACAAAATACATGGGCCGTGGTGCATAGATTCTCCATGTTGCTCATAGCCTTATGTGAAAATGTAAGAGTATTAAGGGGTAGTTGAATAAATATGCTTCTAGAGCGCCTCACAGGCCCCGGAGAAGCAGATGAAGTACCTCGCCATGATCAGCATCATCAGGGGCACCTTTTGGGCCATGGTGCATATAATTTCCATGTTGCTCAAAGCCTTATGTGAAAATGTAAGAGTATTAAGGGGTAGTTGATTAAATATGCTTCTAGAGCGCCTTACAGGCCCCGGAGAAACAAATGAAGTACCTCGTCATGATCAGCATCATCAGGGGCACCATCTGAAACCATGTTGCATATGACGTCACCACTACCATGGGCCATGCAGGTAGCATTGGATTGACCAAATATGGAAGGTGCTCTGTAATGGACAATTGACTTTTAGGGAATTGTTCAATCCACGCAAAAGGCAATTGACTTTTTGGCAAATGTTCAAAGAAAACTGACATATATAGTATTTTATTTTTTCCCAGGAAAGTTATTTATAATAGGAACATTCGTTCCATGGAACATTCGTTCCATTAACTGGCTTGTGGCAGCCAAGCGTTCATAGCGACGTTGCTTTTTGATCCTTCGATGTCGGCTCTTTCTCTCCTTCTTCTGCCGAATTCGTCGGGCGCGTTGTTGATGCTTTGTTCACTTGACAAAATTTTTATTTTATTTAAGGGGTTTAGTAGCTTCAAACTCAGTTTGCCCTCCTGGATATGGTCTGTGCGTCTGTGCGCACGCGTGTTAACTGTAGACTGTGTATTTGAAATGTTATTACTTAAGGGGCTTATGTTATGATGGTCGCAGTCGAGTTGGTCTTGAGTGCCAGCGCCTGAGCTCCGTTGTCTCCGATCGAGTTGGTATACAATTTCAAAGTGGTCAGAGTCGAGTTGGTCTTGAGTGCCTCAGCCAGCGCCTGAACTCCGTTGTCTCCGATCGAGTTGTTGGTCAAGTCCAAAGTGGTCAGAGTCGAGTTGGTCTTGAGTGCCTCAGCCAGCGCCTGAGCTCCGTTGGGTCTGATTGAGTTGTAACCCAAATGCAAAGTGGTCAGAGTCGAGTTGATCTCGAGTGCCTCAGACAGCGCCTGAACTCCGTTGTCTCCGATCGAGTTGGTATACAATTTCAAAGTGGTCAGAGTCGAGTTGGTCTTGAGTGCCTCAGACAGCGCCTGAGCTCCATTGTCTCCGATCGAATTGTGACCCAAGTTCAAAGTGGTCAGAGTCGAGTTGGTCTTGAGTGCCTCAGCCAGCGCCTTGACTCCATTCTCTCCAATCCCGCTGTAAGCCAAATCCAAAGTGGTCAGAGTCGAGTTGATCTCGAGTGCCTCAGACAGCGCCTGAACTCCGTTGACTCCGATCCAGTTGGTGTACAAGTTCAAAGTGGTCAGAGTCGAGTTGGTCTTGAGTGCCTCAGCCAGCGCCTTGACTCCATTTTCTCTAATCGAATTGTGACCCAAGTTCAAAGTGGTCAGAGTCGAGTTGGTCTTGAGTGCCTCAGACAGCGCCTTGGCTCCGTTGTCTGTGATCGAGTTAATGTACAAGTTCAAAGTGGTCAGAGTCGAGTTGGTGTTGAGTGCCTCAGACAGCGCCTGAGCTCCGTTGTCTCCGATCGAATTGTGACCCAAGTCCAAAATGGTTAGAGTCGAGTTGATCTTGAGTGCCGCAGACAGCGCCTGTGCTCCGTTATCTCCGATTGAGTTGTCCCTTAAGTTCAAAGTGGTCAGAGTCGAGTTGGTCTTAAGTGTCTCTGCTAGTCTCCCAAATTCTTTTCCTCCAATAGATAAAGCTGCCAACTCGAAGGATAGCTTGCAAAGATGGGATGGTGTTTTTGGTTGGAGATTGAAAAGCTTGATGAACTCCTTTGGAAGAACGATATGGATCATTTTCATACGAGGAAATTCTATGATGCGATTAAGTACTTCGCATTGTGCGGATGTCGACAATAGTTTACTGCCGAGGCTTGTTCGAAATTGTCGGAGATTAAGGCGAAGTATCGAGATTCTTGATTGCTTGAGTGCATTCTCTAATGCTTCAAGATCACTCCTGATGCACTCCCAACTCATATCGACGGTGAGTCCGAGGATACCCTTGGCTTTGCTGACGGCGTCATAAAACTCGGCAGCGACAATGCTGGAAGTCAGAGTTATTATGATCCTTCCCAGTTGCTCATCAAATTCTCCTTGTGCCATCTGGACCACACTTCGGAGCTTCTGGGTGTGCTTCTCTTGATAGCTGGCTCGGTAGTGGTCGTAGCAGACCCATTTGACGTGGCCATCCGGTGTCGTCATTCGGTAAAGGTTCCCGAGAAGATTTTCCTCCTCTGATGTCTTCAAGAATGATCTCAACTGGCGTAACTCGATACCTTCAAGTCCCTCGACATCGCTCAGATAGTTGGTCAAGTCGTGTTGTGTCATTGCTGCTCCAGGCTCAGTGTCGATGTGATCCTCTGGAGATGATGCTTGAACTTTTGCCAATTGCTTATCGATACATTCGAGCGAGTAATCGATCTTGGCCGTGACTAACTCGACAGACTGTTTGACAGAGTCAGCCAGCTCGACAACCTTAAGGCTGGCCAAGGTAGGAACAACATGGCCGGCGATACTTGTGCCAAACTTGATCAGCTCTAGCATCAACAAAAGAAACGGACCATATTTCTTGAAGAACTCGGTTGGCTCACGGATGAGATATCCTTCGTGTTTTGCCAGGTGGAGGTGATGTGGATCCTTGCTGTTGTTGACGTCGGTATGCTTACCGCATTCACAAATGAAATGCAGTCGAAACTTGGTTCTAAACCAGTTGCCGGGATCGTACTTTGCTGGTACTTCTGGCAAGACAATAAACAACCGAGGAATCGGATACTCGGCCAGCTCCAACTGCTGCGTCAAGATGGCCTCGGTCTTGCTCTGGATCAGAACCAATCGATCGTTCATCTGTTTTTGTAACTCCCAAACCTCCCGGGCAATCTGCTGAGTCATAGCGCCTTGGTCGTGAAGTCCATCTAGCTTGTGAATGACTGTTCTCTCGAACCCGGATTTGGCCATTGACGCCGGAGTCAACTTTGAGGCAATCAGTGAAGAGAGCGCTTCAGAGGTCAATGGCTTTCCAGACTGGCGGGCGTGCTCGATGACCGCGGCCACAGAAATGAACTGACTCTGGATATGAGTGGTGTTTCCTCTGGTCACGGTTGCTTGGCGTGGCTCAGCGGACGAAAGATCAGTGGAAGATTCCGCGGCAATGGCAAGGCTAGAGACAAACTCAGCAAGTGTCGCGGTGGAGCTCGCTGGAGGATTGACGTTAAGCTCATTAATGATAGCGCCGGGATGGTAAGGATGGGTGGGTGTATCGGGAGCTAGACCCAAGGTTGCCATTGGAGGGTCAACATGAGCATGCTCATTGGTGGACAAGACTACGTCCAGAACCACTCCTGGGCAATGCTTGATGCAGTGAGGCACGATTCTATAAGGACAAATTAGACACTGTGCTTCATTAGCCTGATTGCTCTTCATTGTCCAGTTTTATTCGGTTCCCTTGCACAGTCTTACATTACCTGATTCGACTTGAGTCTCTAAGTAACTTGACTATGGAACTGCCATTGCAGACGTGCCCAACTCTTGGAAAGACCTGATTGATGTCCTCCCAGTAGATTACATTCTGCCCACTGACAATATCCACATCGATGTTTTTGACATCAGTTGTGCCAGTAATGCGAAACGATTGAGTCTCTTCCATTGCTCGTTTTAGATGACTGTGTTGTAGGTGGGGGGGGGGGGAGGGGGGTATGGTGATTTTGTGTGGGAAGTAAAGTAGGGGAAATGTGTGTGATGGTAGAGGAGAAAGAGTGAAAAAGACAAATTTCAACGTTACCTTTTCAACTCAAATCTTCGGCACTTCACCCCTGCGCCTGTTTTGTGCTGTATCTACTTTAAAGCGAAGTCATTATTTTGCTTCGCCATTTCTCCATGTTGTTGGTACGAATTGACTATGCCTGTGGATGCTCTGCCAATATTGATTAGTCATTAACGATCATGGTTGCACAAGGAAAATTTCAAGGGAACTGAGGAAAAATTCGAGGGCACCTGTCGACCGATCACTTACAAAGTCACACAAGAATCGATTGATCATTCACAATGTGGTAGACTAATATGCGTGCATGCCTTTTATGCTTGTTCAGGTTGGCGCAATGCCAGTTCCCAATTCTGCTTTGCCATTGTCCATTGTATTGCCATCTGTGACTACTCTTGGCTACTTTGCCAACCAACGTTTTACCTCTTTTTGCATTGCCAGCTATCACCTCTCCAATTCTGCTTTATCAACAGGGATAACTGGCTTGTGGCAGCCAAGCGTTCATAGCGACGTTGCTTTTTGATCCTTCGATGTTGGCTCTTTCTCTCCTCCTTCTGCCGAATTCGGCAGGCGCGTTGTAGATGCTTTGTTCACTACCACTACCGTGGTCTAATTGTTTTTATTCTTAAGGGGTTTGTAGTGACTAATGAAACGCGGTACCTGAATGTGGTCTGTGCTTTCCACGCGCGTTGAGGCGAGGTGATAGTTGGACTGTATTTATTTTGTTATTAAGGGGCTTATATTTGGTGGTGTTACAAAAAGACGGTGGCTAGGCAGTGGCGGCGATGCTTTAAGTTAGCAGTCATATTCTTTAGTAGATAGTATTAGTAGTGCGCCGAGCCCTCTTGTCTGCTCTTTGTCCTTTTACACATCACTTCTTGGACAAGAGTTGTACTGACAAGAGTTTCGCTGGCGTGCTGCAGGTAACAAACCCCCTCTTTGATATTATGAATAGAAGGTCCTTTTACACATCACTTCTTGGACGAGAGTTGTACTGACAAGAGTTTCGCTGGCGTGCTGCAGTATATCGTTTCGTGAGATTCTTTAGGACGCTATCACCACAACCCCCTTCCCCCCGTACCAATTGAGGACTTCACAGCGGTCCTACAACTCTGGCCTCGACCCTCTCCCCTGAGTAACAATGAAGTATTCTGGTTTCGTGTTTAAGGGGTTGGATGTTGGTAGTGAGAAGTATATGGGGCTTGAGTCAATGAGAAGAAAAGAGTTGTTTTATTATTTTACACCACTGGAGTGATATTTAACCATGGAGGTGATAGCTAACCACATAGGTGGCAAATAATCACGGAGATGATAATTATTATAAATAATCACGAAGGTGGTAGTTGAGCAGCGACCATCTGTCATGTGGTGATGTGGTCGCTAGCAACACTTCTTCGTTAAATAAAAAGACGGGGTAAAATAGAAATATAAACCCCGTACAGTCGAAAATGGTTTTTGGTCACACTTGCCCAGCTAAAAGTGTGCCCAAAAAAAAACAATTCGGATTGAATTTACTCTCTAAGAGAATTATTTTAAAACACTAAAACACAGTCTCGAGTATATAGTGCACGTGAGCCTTGACGCAACCATGCATTCATGTCCAGAAAGGAAGAAGAGGAACGTCGTGTTTTTATTCATGATCGCTCGCGACTTCCTTGACCAAATCTTCTTCCCTAACGACCGCACAAGCATGCATAAGGTGTTTTACTGCTTTTCGGACCTCCCTTTACCCTTGGTCTCGTTCCGCACTCTGTCGCGCTCGCTTGGTACCGAGAACAGCACTGTCTCCTACCAAGTGTTCCAGCGTTTCGATAGTCGCATAGATATCTGTGTCTGCAATGGGTGAGCTTTCAGCATCCTCATGGCTTGTGCAATCGCCAGTGCTTGGTTGATCATCGCCCACGCTTTCCCGTTCTCCACCCTCCTCATCCACTTGTTGTAGCTCCTTCTCGGCCTGCTCATCCCTGCTTTCTTCCACTCTTAAATCCAGCTCATCGCCCTCCCCAACCTTGGCAATAATATGTTCGAAGTATGCTTTCTCCTGCTCCTTGTATTTTTCGCCCTGAGTGTGCTGAGGTTTCGGTTGCTGCTCATCCTTGGTCGACCGTTGTCGGTGGAGCGCCTCGCATATTTCTGTTGGAAGTACAGGGGTTTTGGCGAAACAGTTGCGCAGCGTGGAAGGTTGGATCTCATCCCATGCGTCCGGAATCAGTGTCCAAGCGCACCCATTGGAGATAGTCGCCGTTTGGTCAAAGTTACGAGCATAATACATTTCGCGGCCAAGCTTCTCCAGGAATGCCCGTTTGAAAGCACTGATAACGCCGGCGTCGAGAGGCTGGGTAACCGCTGTTGAATGCGGGGGTAGTCGAAGGATGCGAAGGTGTTTCCAACGATACATATCGACGTTGTTGTGGGCTCCTGCTGAATCCAGAAGGAGAAGGGTTGGCTGTTCGAGCTCATCATCCAACAGTTCCAGCCAGGCTGTGAATATTTCGCCGATCATCCATCCACTTGACGTTCTCAACATAGTCATCCTCAAGGCGGCCTGTTTTTCGACGTCTCTGGGGATGTGTTCACCTAACGATCATCAAGGAGTTATAAAGGTTAAGATGTGAAAAGATATTGCTGGGTATAATTCATTGCAATATCATAAAAAATAGCATATTACCGATAACCAACGGCTTCAATGACTTTTTAGTCTTGGCCAAGTTGAGAGATGTGCCAGAGGCGTTGATGCAGAATAAAATAGAGACTCTGCAATCCCTAAAAGCCTTGGCGCCAGATTTGGAAAGCGGTGTCGCATAGGATTTGGTGTCCAGCTCCTTCACATACATTCCGGTCTCATCGCAGTTGAAAATGTTGTCGGGAGTGTACTGGGTGCAAATCCTGCGAATTTTGTCAAGTTCAGGTTCAATTGCGTCTAGGTCGACCGATCCTGCCTCTCCATGAAGCTGACAATACGAGATGCGATGCTGTTTCTTGAATGAGTCAAACCACCAGGCCGAAAACGACATTGGCGCCTCGGATACAGTGTCGCCCGAATCGTCCTTGAGGTCGCAGAGGACCATACATGCAAAATGACCTGCCTCCTTCATCAGCTTGCCTGTTACAGGAACATTCTTCTTGCGTTGATCATGCAGCCAGTAAAGCAGGACTCGCTCAACCGTTAGATTCTTCCGCTTGACGATGTAATGAGCGCCTTCAGGGAGTATCTTGGCAGCATCACGTATCTATTGATCGATAGGGACGTACATAAAACGAGTGCCACTTAGTTTCTATTAATTTATTGAAGATAGGTCTTGTGTCAGAGTTTCACTCTGATAAGGTTACACCAACCTATGACGCCACCAACATTTCTAGACTTTTCTTTCCCTTGATTACTAATCAAAGCTACGCCTCATAGAAACCTCTAGAAACCCAACACGACAACTATCTAGCATTCACTCACGTATAAATTCCCTAACCAACACCTAGATAGTTCAGCAGTTCAACTCACCCTTTATTAAATTCTCCCTCCCTCGTTCACCTCTTCACTCGTTCGCTCGCCTCTTTTCCCCTCACAAACACCCACACGTACCCTCGTCTTGTTGCATGGTAGCAAAGGCCTACGTTTTACCTTCCTCGTACCGTCAGTCCGTCAAGTCTCTTCCTCTCCGTCCGTCGTCGTCCAAGTAAACCAATATGGTGTCCACCGGCTTCCAGTACCTTATCCGCGATTATAAGCCCGAAAAATTCACCGCCAAACCTAGCGAAAACGCTCGAGAATGGCTCCTCCTAGTCGACCAATACTTCAACGCTATGAAGCTTACCTCCGAAGAGCGTGTCGCCGCCGCTTCAATGATGATGGGTGGCCTTGCCCGTAAGTGGTCCCTCACCGTCCCCGCCGCTCCTGAAAACAAAGATCCCTGGGAATATTTCGGCACTCGCTTTGTCCAACGCTTCGGGTCCAACAATAACCAGTTATTCGCCAAGCAAAAGCTCCACCAGCTCAAGCAGCTTGGTTCCGTCACCAAGTACAATCTCCAGTTTGAGACTCTTCGACTCCAAATCGATGACTTGCCCAAGTCCCAAGCCCTGGACTACTACCTCATGGGTTTGAAGCCCAAACTCCAGGAACATTTCGCCAGCATTACCGACATGCCCACCGACCTGAGCACTGTGATGGCAATCGCGGAAAGAATTGACAATGTGCAATACCGCGCCTTCCGCAGCTCGCACAACTTCCAATCCAAAAACGAGTTCAAGTCGTCAAGCTCCCATCCCGGTTTTCATTTCGAGTCCTTTCCCCAGCCTATGGAATTGGATGCCATGTTTGGTCAAGATGATGAAAAGCAGAGAAAGTTAGATCTGAAGAACCGCACCTGCTTCCTTTGTCATTCTACTGGCCACCAGATCCGTAATTGCCCCAAGAATCCCAAGTCGGGAAAAGCCTCGTCCCATTAAAGAGCTCTGGGGCTTTAAATGGGACCACCGCCACCACTGTTCAAGTCTACAGTTCCACTCCAGAGAGCATACCTCCTTCGATGGAACCGTCAACCGTTGTATCAATTTCGTCCGCATCGTTGAAACCGTTCGTTCTATCATCGTCTACCGTTCCGTCGCCATTGTTTAATGGGTCGACACCGTTTTATCAGTCACCGTCCGTATCGTCAGAACCGTCCGTTCTGCAGTCGTCTATCGTTCCGTCGCCATTGGTTAATGGGTCGACACCGTTTTGTTCGTCCATGTCCGTCGTTTCGTCGCCACCAGTTGATGTGTCGACACCGTTGTCTCCGTCTGTCTCGTCCTTCGAATCCAGTGCGCTGACCATGTCTGCCATTGAGTCCGAATTTCCGATCTTACCTGAAGAACCGGAAGACGAGAAGTTGATGTATGTTGCCGGGCACATAAAGGGTTGCAAGCTCGACGTGTTAGTCGACTGCGGTGCCAATGCCAACTACATCAGTCAAGAAATCGTCCGTGTCCTCGGTATCCCTACGTCCAAGAAAAAAGAACCAATTGTGGTTACTTTCGGAGGTGGTCAGCCCGTTACATGTTCACGTTATTGCCATATCCGATTAAAGCTGGCTCATAATTTCCAGCCGATCATCCAGTTCAACGTAATCCAGACCCGATTCGAAGCCGTCCTCGGCAAGCGTTGGCTTGCAAAGTCCATGCCTAAGCCTGACCTGGATCTCGCCAATCATACCATTCGCGTTGAACCCGATATCCTTATCCAAGGTTACACTGATCCCACCCATACTCCTGTTATGTCCGCTATGCAGTTCAAACGCCAGCTAGATAAAAATCAAGCGTTCCTTTGTGTTGTCCGTCCCGTCGATGAAACGCCTCCCAAGAAAAAACCAGTCGAACATCATCCTGCCGCACAGTCGCTGCTCGAGAAGTACAAGTCCGTGTTCCCTGATGACCTTCCAAGCACCTTACCTCCGTCAAGAGCCGTCGACCATAAGATCGAGATCATTTCCGGTTCAGTTCCTCCATCTCGTCCTACGTATCCGTTATCCCTAGGAGGCCTTTCACGTCCAAGTTATCATATGGTGTTTGTTACATCTCTGTAGATCTCGACAATATCCATAGCGACTATGGGATGAGAATGTATATATGATACCAAGCATATAAGACAACCATTGTAACATTTTTTGTTTAACTATCCTACTAAACACCAACCTATTCTCCAAACAACAAAGTCTTCTTATTTTTCGCACACCACACTCTTGAATATGTCCATCTACTATTAACCTGTAACCCTCACTGCAAGATTCGCCAGAGTAGTTCTTGTATGTCATCATCTAAAGCACTTGTACTCTCAACTGTATCTTTGGGGCGAAATACAGGGGAGAGATTACATTTTAAAAAAACATGTGCTGTCTATTGCTATTTTATTCTGTGTTCTGTTGCCCACTATGAAGAGATATGTCAGTTATGGAAGTAAACACTCCGTTCCTTGGGCTTTGGATATTTTTTATATGCCTTTTTATATCCTCTGCACATGAAGGGGCCGCTACCGAAAAAAATATAAAAATATATTTGTATTCTCAACTATGTGCTTGCTATATGATAGATACCATCCTACATGCTGTTGTGTATGCAGTTAAGTATAAGCCTTTTTAAAAAATTGTTATTGTTGGTTAACGTCATGACAATCCAATACATAAATATTATTATGGATCTAACAAAACACTTCCAACAACTGCTTGATGACCATTGGACTTTCCTCAACGCTGGATGGCCAACAATTACACCACGTAATAATCATCGTACTGTAAGCAAGGAAATTGGGTATATGCCAGAAATAAAAGAAACCCTAAATCGACGCCTTGGTCCTATTCCAGTGTACTTCTTTCTTGTTGACATCTGGCCAAAGGTTAAGTATCCTGGTCCATACAAAGAAGTGGAGAAAGGTCTTTTAATGCTCTATCATCTTGTCAAAGGACTGTCTATGGAAGCAATGGAACCACACATGCCAAAAAGTAGTTTTCATGCAATGCACTCTGTGTTTTATAAGAAAGAATATACTTTGCACAACAAGTACATCACCAACTGTATTGCAACAATGTTCTCCACAATTAAAATACGCCTATTGTCTGCAAAGGAAAAGAATCCTCCATTATTTAAGCATGTTACATTGCATCTTGATGGTCATGATACAAGAGCAACATACAAAGGTGAGAGCAGTGCTGATATGTACTCTTACAAGCTGAAAAAGTCAGGGTTACGCACACAGGTAGCAATGGATTGTAATGGCATGGCCTTATTTGTCTCCAAATCTGCATCTTGCAAGAACAATGCTGATGGAACAATGCTGCTAACGATGAAGTTGGACAAGAGAGTGCATGAGATGGATTGCATTGCTCTCGATGGAGGGTATCCACAGTTCTTAAGGAGGCTTATAGATGAGTCTGATACTCTTAAAGTCCAAAATTTCGCTCATCCATACCGTAAACAGAAGAACAAGGAACTTACACAGGAAGAAGCGTTATACAATACCACCTTTGGTAGTTTCCGCTCGCAGATGGAATCTCTGTTTGCAGACCTTGGTTCCACATTTGAGAAACACAACAACCGTACTCCTGTGTTGGTGGATAAGAAACAAACATATAATTTGCAGTTGAAGTTATCTTTGTTACTCTTAAACATGAAAAAGATGGTTGCTTTGTTGAAGATTTCTGCAGAACCAATTCATACAGCTTGGCTTCGCGAAGGATTCGAGTATCCGACGACAGAGAACGACGTTGAGCAACCAATGGGATATGTTGATGTTGGTGCGCTAGTGGAGGATGGAAATACAATGGCACAACTCCAGAACAAATTTCTTGGTATTAATCTTCATGGTGATGTTGATGTTAATGTTGATGAGGACACACCAATGGATCAAGCAGTAATAATGCAACCCGGTCTTTCCATTGAGCTTGGAGGTACGAAGCGACAAATGGATGTTAATGGTAATCTGTAGACTTATTGCAGGTTTTTAAAAGAATAGACATACATGGCCTATTTAGTCAGCTTTAAGATACGGTATTAACTGCCAAGACGCTAATATGCACCGGTATCTATTATTAAAAGCCATGGTATTATTGTAGTAGATCGGATGCTATTCTATGCTATTCTACAGCATTCCTTTTTATTTAACAAAGAGGATAAACACATGTACAAACCTACGTCATAAAATAATACTACATTCTTAACCATTTTTAAACCCCGTCTTTAACGCCAAGCAGTCTTAATAAGCAAGATCTACGTCATACGAGGAACACTACATTATTAACCACTTAGATGCCTTTTTAAAACTCTTTTGTTACTAAGCGCCAAGCAGTGCTAATAAGCAAGCGCTATTAATGTCCATTGTGGCAGTGTTCCTGAATTAGTATAAATAAAGGAGTCCACTTCCCTCTTGCTTAATCTTTATCTAGTAACCAACCAACAATTATCCATATCTATACAACCATCCATACCTATACAACCATCTTTTATTGCAATTCTTTATATCAGTGTACTAAGCAGCTGCAATCTACCACACATAAACTGAAAACTCATTCACACCCACCATACCACAAGTACAATCCATATTATTCATATCCAAAAACATGAAGTACGTTCAGCTTACAATCGAGCTCATCACCAAGGCCTTTGAGACATTCTCCTCTAAGAAGGGAGTGGAGTTTAACAAGAAAGATGCAAATAAGATCTTTAAGGCGCTTGATGAGGATGAGGAAGTAGAGAGATACTACTTTTGTGGAGAAAAGTGCACCAAGTCCAAGCGCAAATGCATGAAGGAAGTTGATGATGAAGGCATGCATTGTTATGTCCACGATCCTGCGCGCAAGTGTCAAGGCACAACTATTAAGGGTGCTAATTGTGGTAGTGTAGCCAAACTTGGTCAAACATACTGTGGACGTCATCAAGATCAAGATAGAGGTTATATAAAACGTAGTAACAACAACGCACCTGTCGACAAGCGTACTAAGTCTTCCAAGGCTTTAAAGAAGACACATACTTCTAAGTTTGTGTCTTCCGATGACGATATGACTTCCGAGGATGAAGAACCAAAGAAGCGAAAGAGAAACAAGCAGGAGTCATCGGATGAAGAGCCGTCCGATGATGATGATGAAGAAGATATAATTGCCGTCTCCTTTCCGTTGAGTCCAAAGGTAGTTGACATAACGTCTAAGAAAAATGTACCACTCGCTAATACATGTATATGGACGCGTTATGCAACTAATCCAGCTTTCCTGTATGCAAAAAGCTTTACTGTAAATGGCAAGTACATTATTAGGCTAAAGGAAAAGAATCTCTACATTGCATTGTGTCCACCTAAGCTCATGGGCAAGAATCTCCCTGCGCCAGAAATATCTGAGAAAGAGGCACGCATATTGGCCAAGATGGGTCTTCAAGAGGCAACTTCAGCAGATGTAGAAAAAATAGAAGAGTCTTCTGCTGATGAGAATTCTGACGATGATACAGATGATGGTGATACGTCTGATAATGCTGACTCTGACGATGATTCCTCTAAAGATAAAGACTCTGATGATGGCAAGTCCAATAACAGACCTGATGTAGAATCTGGAGATGATACCTCTAAGGATAACCCTGATGAAAAACTATCTCATAAAAAGCCATCTAAGGATGATGAGAAGAAGACTTCTCGAAAGAAAAGGCATTCAGAGATGCCCAAAAATGCAGAGCCATCTTCTAATGTAGATGTTTCTAAGGATGAAAAAGATGAACACACATTTGCACTGGCCACAACGGTGCGTAACATTAGATCAGAGAAAGACATACCACTTGCAAAGGATGGAGGATGGATGGTTCATCCTAATAACGACATGCTTGAGTATGCAACTAACTTTACGATGAAGGCTAAGTACATTGTCAAGCTATGTGGAAAGAATACATACGTTGGCCTGTTTACGCTTGATCATCTGCGTGGCGGTGGTGATGTTCCAGAGATGGATATCTTGGAACGCTCCATGCTTAGCAAGATGAAACTTCAAGAAATGTCTGATGAAGAGAGAAAGATGCTTTTCAACGAGGAGGTCGAAGTAGAAGAGGAACTACCAGTGGAAGGACCGACAGATATATCCAAGATGAAATGGAAAAGGTTTCACAAGCAGCAATTGGAGTATTCCAAGAATGTACTTGTAAATGGAAAGCACATTCTCAAGATCCGCAAGCAAAACATTGTAGTTGGCTTGGTGACTGATGACCACATTAGTGCAGAGAATGTCGACTATGATAATCTTAACCAAAAGGAAAAAGAAAAGATCTTCGCTATGGGCTTTAAGCCACAATGGTCTAAGGATAGGTCGACAGAGAAAGGTGAACCGGTAGAAAAAATAGATGATGAGGTGCAAGAGTCGAATATTAAGGAAACTTTAGATGAACTTGTAGAAAAAGTAGATGATGAGGTGCAAGAGTCGGATGTTAAGAAAACTCTAGAAGATGGTGGACCTATGGAAAGCGAAAATGTGAATGCCTCAAGTGTTTACACTACAAAAGACCATCAAGATTTTCTGAAGGCAATGGGAGAAGTATATAGCAAAATAACAGCTATCGAAGAAGAACTCCGCGAGGAATACGTTTCGGCAGATGGTAATGCAGAAGAAAAAGAACTAATTTTTCACCTAGGTTTGTTGGAGAAAGATTATTCCAACTACGAAACATGGCACATGGATAAGTTTGGTTCCCGCGAACCACATTCCGATATATTATGTAAGTTTGCAAAAGAAGGATCTAACAACAG